ACGGTTTTTTTACGAGTCCTTACGGATCGCCATCTCGTAATCAATCGCAAGCATCCGTAAATAACTCGCTGGTATCCGTACATAACTCGTCACAACTCGAAACAACTCGCACTGCAGACACTCTTTAAAAAGGAGAGGTAATTGTTGTGAAATGTTAAAAATGTCCACGGATTAATTTTTCCGTAAATAACTAGTAACAATCCGTAAGTATTGTAAACCGCTCGCAACAATATATAATCATCCGTCAAATGCTCGCAAGAATCCGTAAATGACTCGTAACAGGTTTTTTCCCGATTTGTTACGATTAGTTTACGATTTGTTAACCGATTATTTATGGATAATTACGAGAGCTTACGTGTTGTATACGATTTCATGCTGTCGTGTTACGGTGGCTTTACGGATTGGTACGAGTTTTTTTTAGCACTTTACGTGTAGTTATGAGGTTTTTTAGCGCTTTACGTGTAGTTACGAGTACTTTGCGAATAGATACACATACTTTACGTATTCTCACGTATTGTTTACGTTTTGCTGTAAGGCATAAAGCTGCAAATCGTAGGACTCAGAAATACTTAGTAACTAACTCGTAATTATTCGTAACAACACGTAAACAGTTTGTAACTAAAACGTAAAAGGTTCGATGAATAGTAACATTCTGTAATATACTCGTAACAATCCGTGAAAAGTTCTAAAATGCCCGTAATTTGCTCGTAGTTATTCGTGACAACTTGTTACAAATCGCTGAATTTTGCCGTAAATACATCTTAACAGAAGTCCATTATTAGGGCTCTAGTAATGGCCTTCTGGTCTTAATAATTAGTAATAATCCGTATTAAACCTTAAATAGCTTGTAATAACTCTTAACAAATCTTATATCGGTCGTAAAAGTGGCCAAATCGTAAGGATCCGTGAATTTGTGCGATCTGTAAGGACTCGTAAGAAACATCTGTGAAGGGGGCATAAGGTATGTTGTACTGTCCAATATTTTTTTTTGTTATAATTCTCGTTATCCCTTTTATGTAGTATAGAAAATCTACGATTGCAAAGTTATGTGTCCCTTAAGTCACTTGATATCAGTAAACGTTAAATACTAATTGATTAATTTATACAAGAGTGAACTTTAGTTCAGTGAGAAAATGACCGACGTGGGATTACATCTGCGTATGAATTTTTTGTCAAGAATAAAACAAAAGTCAATGTGACTTTCTTTCGCAGGAGAGTGTTGTTATCTGATAAATACATAGATACACCAAGTTATATGAATGAAGGTCGCTTACTATCTAACCAATTAACTGTTTTACCGAGGCGAATAAACCCGCTCTTAAATTAACTTAACTTCCAGTCTTCCATAGACGAATTTTTTGTTCTTTGAATCTATTGCTTTGTATTTGATAAAAAAAATGATGTTTATTTTTCTGGCTTCAGCAAACGTATTTTTAGCTCGCCTGGCCCAAAGGGCCAACTGAGCTATTCTCATCACTTGGCGTCCGTCTTCCGTTAACTTTTACCAAAACCTTCTATTCTGAAACTACTAAGCCAAATGGAACCGAACATCATCATTGGGGTACCTATTTTAAAAATTGAGTCCGACAACCCCACCTGCCAACCAACATGGTCAACGATTGGAACGGAAACCCTATGGGTTGCTGTCTAATTGATTAAGACCATAGAGTTGCTGTCTAATTGACTAAAACCATAGGGTTGCTGTCTAATTGATTAAGACCATAGGGTTGCTGTCCAATTGACTTATATTTACCGTACGGGTTAATTGCTGTATAGCAGACGTTTACCTGAAGGGTTGGTGTAAAATTGATGTATACCATACTGGTAGCTGTATAATAAACGTTTACCATACTGATTGCTGTATAATTGACGTATACCATACTGGTTACTATATAATAGACGCTACGGGTTGGTGTATAATTGACGTATACCTTGCTGGTTGCAGTATAGCAGACGTTTAACTAACTGGTTGATAAATAATTGATGTATACCATACTGCTTGCTACACAATAGACGTTTATCATACTGGTTGCTGTATTATTGACGTATACATACTGGTTTATGTATAATTGACGTATACCATACTGCTTGCTGCACAATAGACGTTTACCATACTGGTTGCTGTATAATTGACGTATACCATACTGGTTGCATTATCATTGCGTATACCATACTGTTTGCTTTACAATAGACGTATACCATACTGGTTGCTGTATAATTGACGTATACATACTAGTTTCTGTATAATTGACGTATACCATACTGCTTGCTGCACAATAAACGTTTACCATACTGGTTGCTGTATAATTGACGTATACCATACTGGTTGCTGTATAATTGACGTATACCATACTGGTTTCTGTATAATTGACGTATACCATACTGCTTGCTGCACAATAAACGTTTACCATACTGGTTGCTGTATTATTGACGTATACATACTGGTTTCTGTATAATTGACGTATACCATACTGCTTGCTGCACAATAAACGTTTACCATACTGGTTGCTGTATAATTGACGTATACCATACTTGTTGCTGTATAATAAACGTTTACCATACTGATTGCTGTATAATAGACGTTTACCATACTGCTTGCTGTATAATAGACGTTTACCATACTGATTGCTGTATAATAGACGTTTTCCATACTGGTTGTTGTATAATAGACGTTTAGCATACTGGTTTCTGTATAATAGATGTTTATCATACTGGTAAGTGTAGAATAGACATTTATTCTACGGGTTGCTGTATAATTGACGTATACCATGCCGGTTTCCATACTGGTTGCTGCACAATAGACGTTTACCATACTGGTTGCTGTATAATAGACGTTTACCATACTGATTGATGTATAATAGACGTTTTCCATACTGGTTGCTGTATAATAGACGTTTACCATACTGGTTGCTGTATAATAGACGTTTACCATACTGGTTGCTGTATAATAGACGTTTACCATACTGGTTGCTGTATAATAGACGTTTACCATACTGGTTGCTGTATAATTGACGTATACCATACTGCTTGCTACACAATAAACTTTTCACGTACTGGTTGCCGTATAATTGACGTATACCATACTGGCTGCTGTTTAATAGGCGTTTACCATACTGATTGCTGTATAATAGACGTTTACCATACTGGTTGCTGTATAATAGACGTTTACCATACTGATTGCTGTATAATAGACGTTTACCATACTGGTTGCTGTATAATAGACGTTTACCATATTGCTGTATAATAGACGTTTTCCATACTTGTTGCTGAATAATTGATGTATACATACTGGTTTCTGTATAATAGATGTTTATCATACTGGTTAGTGTAGAATAGACATTTATTCTACGGGTTGCTGTATAATTGACGTCTACCATGCCGGTTTGCGTATAATAGACATTTCCCATTCTGGTTGCTGTATGATAGAAGTTTACCATACTGGTTGCTGTATAATAGACGTTTACCATACTGATTGCTGTATAATAGACGTTTTCCATACTGGTTGCTGTATAATAGACGTTTTCCATACTGGTTGCTGTGTAATAGACGTTTACTATTCTGGTTGCTGAATAGAAGACGTATACCATACTGGTTGCTGTATAATAGACGTTTACCATACTGGTTGCTGTATGGTTGACGTATACCATACTGGCTTCTGTTTAGCAGACGTTTACCCTACGGGTTTGTGTATAATAGACGTGTGCCTTAAGAGTTACTGTATATATAATTGTCGTTTATCTTGTGGGTTGTTGCAGTGGCATAGGAGTATGCTAAAAAGTGGGGGTGGGTGGTACTAGTGTAGAAGTGTAGAAGTTAGTCTCTTTTCATGTTTTTATTTCAGTGTCCTCTTTCAGCATTTATTAGTTTCAGTAATTTTCTATGCCTAAAAAGTGGGTAGGAAGAGGTACAATTGTCACCTTGGCTCTTTCGCCAGTGTTGTATAATTGGCGTATATCCTACACCTCTTACATTCATACCACACTATAAATTAGTGCTTATTGCTTACAACGACGAATATAGTTTTATTAAAAATAAAATTTGACTTGAACAGTAGTTTATTCAAAAACTTGTTTGACAGTACTTCATAAATACAATCTAAAAGAAAATTACTGTATGTGCTTAGCTTCCTCGGATACATTTCGAATAGCGAACAATGTGGTGTTTAAAAGTCCTCATTCAAAGGTTGTCTGATAAAACAAAAACACATAGATATAAAAATAAGTAGATGTGGTTTAATTGCCAATGAGACAACTTTCAACCGGAGACCAAATGACATAGAAGTTTGACATGAAGTTCACCGTTTGATGATTAATGTATAAGGCGAAAGATAAATTCAATGTGTAGGACATACTACAAAAGTTCACGTATTCTTTATAAAAAAGGTTAACGATTAACTCCTTTTTACTTGTAGCGATATTTGATAGATGTTTGTAATTAGTCAACAGAAGATTTACGTGTAACATTTACAACGAGGATTATTTATGGAAAGGTGATTTGTTTATTGGTCTAAATTTACGAAGAAAAAAATAAAACTATAAGCATATATGAAGAACTCCTTGCATAGACGGTTTATACTCAAACACTAGCAACTATAAGTGGGCTACAACCTAAAATCCATGATAGAATCTTGTCATACTTTGCCTAAATGTACTGTTTAAAAGCTTATAGTCAACGAATTTACAAAATTCTTTATTGTATGAAATAGGATAGATGGGAAAACAATTATGGCGAAAGAAAGCAAAATGTATAACGGTTGACGTAAATTATTTATTAATCAGTGATCCCTCTTTCACTTCTGATGCATTTGATTCGATACTTATACATGTTATTTTGTAATACTTGATATGTATTAAACTTCGGAATGTTTTTTTTTCAACGAAATGACACTTGATCTCGGATTGGTACCGAATTTCTAACATATTTGGTAACTTTGAAGAGAGTACGTTAACAAAATACCATCTCTTTTTACTCCTATATAATTAATAGCATATTAACAACAATGAAGATTACAATTTATTTAGAGCTTTCTTGATTTACAATGTCGTGTCCTTAAAATATTTCATAGGATTAAAACACAGGCTAAAAAGGAAAAGAAACCAACAAAACAACATCAAGTTATGTATAAAATAGTCAGATATTGAACTATATTTGTATACAAGAAATATAATAAAAAAGCAATACAGGTTATTAAACACTCGCTCTTTTAAGTTTTACTATCGAAGCAATATTAGACAAATAATTTAATCATAGTTGTTTTAAAACAGTCGATGGTTTTGTGTACAAGGTTATGTAAGAACGTTAAGTGCTATCTTATTCCGCCGAAGCATGTCTGGCAGTATTTTATGTAGATCTAGATTAATTTCCGAAAAATGACCTGACAAGACTTATCCCTGCATTTAACACGCCTTGTAACCAGTTTTGCTTTTTTGTCTCATCTCGGATATCTTGCAGCTCTCGTATTAATTTTTGCTCTCTTTCTTTATAATGTTTTCTTAGGTCATCATCTATTTCTTTTCTCATTCCTTGTTGCATTTTCAGGATTTCTCTTTCTTTTTCCTTCTTGTTCTCCTCTATCTGTTTTTGCAGTTCTAGTTCTGCCTTTTGATAATCTTCATTTGTGTAATGTGACCCTCCATTTTCTCTCACCATTTTTTCAACAATCCCTAGGAGTCTTTGCACTTGGCTGTCGGCGCTGGTTTCATTCAAAGTATTGTCAAACTCAATGAAACGATTCCCGCACTTACTTAAAAATTCTCTCAAGGGGGGTGTAAGAGAATCAATGAATCCTTCCATACCTGGATCAAGAGAGTTATCTATCCTATCACGTTTCCAATTGTCGAATCCCGTGAATAAAACAATAACATACTTTGTTAAGTTTTCACCAAAATGGGAACAGAAATGATTCACAGTCTCCACATCTTCGTTTGTAAAACGGCCAATTGGAACGCATAGAATTATTGCATGTGGACCTTCACATGTAAGCCAGATGCACTTCTTTATTTCCTTTTGAACATTTTCATTATCAGTTCTGTTGTCAAACACTCCTGGGGTATCTACCAAGCTAATCTTTTTGCCAAATCTATGTGCATTTCTCAGTTGACAAGTAGTTGTCAGGGACACCGAATCGCAACCAAAATGGAATATCTTCTGCCCTAAAATTGTGTTCCCAGTCTTACTTTTGCCATTTCCAGTTTTCCCAATCAGGACCATTCGTAATTCGTTTTCTGGAGCTTCTGCCATTGTTTCTCTGAAATTAAAAAAGGAAGATTAATAGAACTAAAAATTGTTAAAATCTGAAGATGTAAAATCGGTTTACAGTCGCACGTAAAGATGATTTATCCCTACCACATTATGAGCTTTTATCAATAAAGTCAGGTTATCCTCATCATGATTATGTTAGTTGTTTGTGTTTGTTAGTATGTCAGTTATTTCGTAGTAGTCGGTGTGATTTGCTGTACTGTTCTGTATTTTTGGCGGTTCCTTTTAATCTTTTTATGTATTACATTACTACAAGGGCGGTTCTTTTGCAAGTTGCTGTGATGTGATATATAAAAATCGTTTACATTATTCCTATCAGTTTCACTCCTCACGAAAGTAAAAAAAAATATATATATATATACATGTGTGTGTGTATGTATATGATACTTCAAAAGATGTTATATAGATGAATTAAATATATAGAATTGAAAGTTTCAGTGATAAAGATACACTATACCTTCGAAAAAGCCTCGCCTTCAGTAACCGCTAAGTGTTTAACATATACGTTATTTATACAGCCTTTAAAGGATTTTCTTCAAAAAGAAAGTAGAATCCCATCGATTATTTTGATTTATTTTATTAAATAGAATCCAGAAAATCCACCGAGTTAATATATAATGGCTATATTTAAATCTTGCACCACGTTATAAGAAGAAAAGTAGATCAGAATTTTCCGTATGACTTATTTATAGTGTCCGAAAATTTTTAAGTATTCTAATGGGGTAAATTACGTTTGGGGGTAAACCACAATAACGGGGACATTTACAATTGGTCTTTGTTATGTAAGCTCTACAGCTAACTTAAATACATTTGGATGCCAGTCTTCTGTTTTTAGAATAGACATTGAATGTTTTAACCTCATTCAAAATTTTAAGATTTTATCTTGAATAGTTTTTGAACACCAGTGAGATTTGTGGTCCAATAATTGTCATTTTCAGACTTTATGCGGGTGCGCTTCAAACTTTACATTATTTTTATCTTTAAAATCTTTTTAACAGTAAGTGTAATGATCATTTCACATGTTATTATTTACAGATTATTAAATGGCGATTAAAATGATTCCAACATTACAAAAATCTGAGCTAATTTAAAAATTCAACATGCAGAATTGTAAAAGTGGTGCTTCGTTATACATTTTTCAATTTATTAAGTGTTGATCATTTATGGCCCTGAAAATAAAACTAATTGCAAGATTATTCATTAAATATGTATGTCAACATACTCGCATATGTTAATACTGAAATAAAATACAGTTATTTAAATGTTATGATTCATACAGAATATTTTTGAAATTTTCAAAGTTGAAAAAAATATTTTTCATAAAGTGTAGTGTCCATAACCAGCTTATTATTCCCCTAGAAAGAATAACTACAGCAACCATTAAGCTACTTTATTTATAGATTTGACACTTACCACTAACATAAAAACGAAAGTTAGCACCTTCTTATTTGAATTTAGTCAGAATAAATGAAAATATGGTTACGGACACTACACAAATGATGCAGTGTCCGTAACCATGATATTATAAATATTTTTATTTCATCAAAATAGGCTTAATTTCTTGGTTCTATGTTGTCTACTTTGCTGCATCATCATTGTCTTTTGATTAAAAAATTAAAAAAAATAAGAAAACGGATAACGGTTAAAAAAAATTGAGCTGATAGTAATCCTTGACGTATTAATTTGAAACCAGAACATCTTGTTGTAAAACCTCAATTTTGGTATCAGTTTGTCATAAACTCAAAAGATTAGTTCTTTTGTAATGATAGATAAAGAAAATTCATCTTCATGATTATTTTTATGATTTTTATATCTTCAGATAATTTTTGTAGTGTCCGTAACCCAGGGATTTTTTTTATTTCTGAGTCCAAAAAATTAAATATCTTTTTCATTTTTCCAAAATCCCTTTTTTTTCTTCCTCGAATTGATTTATACCATGTATACTAACATGTAGATTTGTTAAAGATCTGTACTTGAAATTAGTACATGACATTTTATAAAATATACTAAAAAGTTGATTTAATGAACTCAAGTCTATTTGAAGGTAAAAGTATGCTTTATTTTTGTTTTATCTACAATTCTGGTACTTTCTTATGATAGAAAAACATTTATTGCATGAAATTATGTAGAAATGACTACCCTTTAATCCACAAAAAGTATATTACTTTTAGAAAATTGTTGGAAAAAGTAGCCAGTGTGTAGTGTCCGTAACCATCAATATTTCTTTTTTTTCTGATTAACAAATGTAATTCTAAGTAATTTCTTTTCAAAAATATATTTTTTTTATCATTCCTTTAAGTGCATAGCACCTACTTTGTTTAGATATGTCTGAGATTTTACTTCAGATTTGAAATAATAAACTTGGTTCCATCGATGTCAACATGTCATGTATGTTTACATGTAAATAACTTTAATTACATATATTTTCTTACAATCATGGGTCATTCTGTTGTTAAAATGTAAACAATAAAAAGAAAATACACAAACTTAATATGTTACCCATGAAAAGTTATTCATATTGAGTAAAATATAAACATAAGATCAATGTAGTGTCTGTAACTCAAATAACTTACTGAGTTTATTTTAGATACCATTTATGTAAGGAATACATTTTCTGCTGTGATTTATATTCCCATGAATAGAAGGTCAACTCTTAATGATTTTGATGGGCTACATGTATATAGTCTTTCATTGATTTTTTGGTTGGTATTTTGTTAATAAATTGCATTGAAATTATAATTATGCAAAAAGACTTGGGATAGTTCATTAAAGACATACATTTCTGGAAGTTAATTTTACAAGTAAGGTCCGTAACCAGCACTTACCTTACCCCATACATAATAGAAAATAAAACACTTCCCATTGTTTTTTCCACTAACCAAATGAGTTTCACAAATTTCAAGCAATACTTATTCAAGATCACAATTTTTGTTTTCTATTGTGTTGATCTTTATTTTTGACCTCAAGTGCAACCATACTGTTCCCTTTATTGTGTTTTACCCGTTGACAAGTGTTAAAAATATTTGAATACACGATGAGCTTAGTAGTTTGAAGGAGCCCGTTTATGACTTCTGTATGATTAATTTATAAATGTTTAGGTTTCAATGCTCTTTAACTTTGTTCTTGATTTGGCCATTCAACTATTTCGATTCAAGCGCCACTGATAAGTCTTATGATGAGGTCTTATGTAGACGAAACGCATCTGGCGTACTAAATAATGAGTCATGTAGCATCCGTTAACTAATGTGCCCGTTAATATCTCCATCACATAAAAAGGCCATCCCCTGAATTTGTTTAACATCATGGCCATTTTCAAAAAGATTTTCAATCTTTACTTTAATTTACAATACCGTAGCTGAATGTGTGTATTTAAGGTACAGACTATAGCATGGCTTATTTCTATGTAGATCACCTTATTATAAACTGGAGCTTTATCCCTTTTTTTTGTCATACAAACTAATTCTTAAATAGTATGCTAGATTAACTAACATTAAAGTTGGTAACGACAAAAATTTGATTTATTAAGATCTGCATTCATGGAGATAAAAAAATGTATTCGCAGAAGACCTCTTGCTGGCTTCAATCATTATGTGTAATAAATTTGATTCAATTCAAGTACCATATACTGCGTTTGAGGAGTAATTAAAAAACCTTTATAAATGCAAAATATCAAATCAACTTGAGAATATTAAGTCTAATAACGCAGGTAAACTCAGATTTTATAGTAAAATTTGCTCATCATTTGACTTAAAAGCTTACCTAAGCTGTGATTTACCAAAATATGAGAGATCCTTTTTTCACAAAAATTAGAATAATTGCACATTCACTTGCTATTGAAACAAGGAGATACGATAAACCAAATACTTTAGCAACTGAAATATTCTGCAAATCTTGCGGAGGCAAAATAGAAGATGAAGTGCACTTACTTTTATATTGTCCCCTATATAAAAATCATCGAGAGAAATTTAGTATTTTTAAAAATTTGATAATAGATAATGATATCAAATCAGTAATATATTAACTCAATCCAAACAATTTGGCCAATGCTAAACAATTATATAATTATTTGAGAAATGCTTTTGAAGTTCGTAATAACGCGTAGTGTCAGTTGATCTACCATAAGCTATGGAAGTACTATACAAAAAATAGACTTGTAGTTATAGATTTAGATTTATATAAACGCCAGAAGGTAGCACAAAACAATTTTTTTGACAAATTATATATTTTTTTGGGGTATTTATCCCAAAAATAAATAAGGACACTATTAACCAAAACCAAAAGTCTTTTGGAAACTAAGTTAATATGGATTGATCCAACTTAACGAAGATATTTAATTCCTAAGGAATTACATGTACTTAATTAAAAGAATTCAGAAAATCCCGAAAGTCAATATATCATGGTTAGACAAAATTATATTCTCTTAACAAGAAGAAAAGTAGCTCTCAATTTTCCATAAGACTTATTAATAGCATCTGGGAAGTACTCGAATGGGGTTAACACATGGTGAATTATAAATACAACTAACTTAAATACAAATGTACACAATGAGCTTGAAGTGAATCAAATGTTTTGAAAGACCCTGTTTACGACTGTTATATAACGTTTGAAAATATTTGGTTATCAATGCACTCTTACCTTATTCTTGATATGGCCTTTCAACTATTTCGATTTGAGCACCACTGATGAATCTTATGTTGACAAAAATGTGCATTTGGAGTGCTTTTAAGTAAAATTACAAAATACTGAACTCCAAGGAAAATTCAAAACGGAAAGTCCCTTATCAAATGGCTAAATCAAAAGCTCAAACACATCAAATGAATTGAAAACTACTGTCAGTTCCTGATTTGGTACAGATATTTCAAGCCAAGGAGCTTTTTTTCTCACACAGCAATCGCTAACTGACGGAACTGTTAATATCTCCGTCACATAAAGAGTAAGGCCACCCCCTTGAATTTGTTTAACATTATGGCCGATTTAAAAAAAAATTAATCTTAAAATTGAATTTACAGTATCGTAGCTCAATGTGTGTATTTAAAGTTCAAACAAAATCATTGCTAATTTCTACGTAGATCACCTTATTATAAACTGGAGCTTTGTCCATAATATTTTATATCATATAAACTCATTTTTTTTTATTATGCTAGATTAACTAAAATTAAAGTTGGTAACGACAAAAATTTGATCTACTAAGATCTACGTTCATAGAAGATAAAAATTTGTATTCGCAGAAGAGCTCTTTGCTATCTTCAATAATTATGTGAACTACAAAAAGTTAATTCATTTGGATTCACTTCAAGTACCATATACTGCGTATTCACAGAAATTAGAATTACACATTCACTTGCTATTGAAACAGGGAGATACGGTAAACAAAAAACGTTAACAACTGAAATATTCTGCAAATCTTACGGAGACAAAAAATATGGAGTGCACATCCTTTTATATTGTCCCTTACATAAAAAAATATCGAGAGAAATTTAGTTTTTTCAAAAATTTTTATAAACGATATCAAATCAGTAATATATTTACTTTATCCA